ATATAATTTGGGATAAATGTTCAAGCAAAAGAGTAGCAAATGTAAATGCTTGATGTATTAGGTAAAAAGTCAGGGACTCTGTAGGACAAAATGAGTGAAGAAGAGTAGGAGACAAGGTTAAGAGAGGTGTCAGTGGGCCAGAGCCCTTAGCACCACCATAAGGACCCAGGTTTTTCACAAATACAGTGGGAAGCTTTGGGATGATTTTGAGAGAGTGGTATTATAATCTGGCTTAAATGTAAAGGAACTGCACTGCTGCTGTGTTGAAAATAGACTAGATGAAAAAGACAAAACAAAGTCCAGGAAGGAAACAGTGGCCACTTAGATCCAAGGGGTAGGAGTGAAAGTGTAGTAGTCATACATAGTTCAAAAACAGAGCAAATACATTTTGTTGAGTGAATATGAGACATAAAAGAGCAAAAGCTCTTTAAAGTGCAATATTTTTTTACTAAGCTAGAAGGATAGTGTTTCTATCTATTGAATTAAGGAAGACTTGCAGAAAGACCAGATTTGAAGGTTGACACTGAGTGTACAATTTTGAGCACATATATTTAGAGATTTCTCTGAGATGTCTGCATGAGAAGTAAGTGTACCACTCAGTTAGTTTTGTCTATAACTTATGCTATTATTTTTCTAGTCAATTATTACTGGTGTATAAAAATATTTATTTTAGATTAGTCTCAGCAAATTTGATATTCATATTCATCCTCCCACTTTAATATTTAGGGAATTTTCAGATTCATATCAAAATTGAAAGGAAAGAGCCAAGCATGATGGTGCACAGCTGCTATTTCAGCCACCTGGGAGGCAGAGGCAGGAGAGTCACATGTTTAAAGCCACCTTGTGTAACTTAACAAGATCCTATCCAAATTAAAGTTTTTTAAAATGGCTATAGCTGTAATTCAATGGTAGAGCATTTGCCTAGCATATGCAAAGCTGTGGATTCAATAATAAGAGCTGGGGGAAAAAATAAATGGGAGAAAGGTAGGTAGATTTCCCACTTGTACCTGCTCTCTCTCATGTGTCACCACAGAGGATATATGGTTATAGGTTCTATCATAGATATAGGCCTCCTCAGATTGCCTACCTCTTCTTCTGTAAGCTTTGTCTTATTGTGTCTTTCAAGAAATTGGTTCATTTCTTGTAGGGCAATCCATTTTATAGGTATAGAATTATTTGTAGGAGTCCTTATTTTTAATGTCTGTGGGAACTGTATTATAGGCTCTCCTTTCACTTCTAATATTACTTTTAGTTTGGTTGTTGATTTTTTTTATCTTTCTACAGAACCAGCTTTTGGTTTCACTAATTTTTTTCTGTTAATATCCTGTTTTCAATTTCATTGATTTTTACAGTTTTATTTAACTTTACTTTTGCTAGTTGCTTGAGGTTTTCTCTTTTTTAACAGATGCATTTGATTATGTAAATTTCCTAGTATTTTTGCTTCATGCCGTAAATTTTGATTCACTGACTTCAAAATATCTTTTATTTTCATTTAAGGTTTTTCCTTTGGCTCATGTAATTTAACCTCCAAGTATTTTATATTCTTTTTTTAAATAAACTATTTTGTATATTCTCTGAGATGTTTACATACTTGATTCAATCAACCATCTTA